TTTAACAGGCCAAGACTGGAAAAGTCCGTTAAAAATCCATAACTTCTTCATCCGATGTCCGTTTTCGTCTATGTTTTTACTGTTGTACTACTATTGTCAAGATCTTCGATTCTCGTTTAGGTTGCATTGGCTAAAATTCGTTCGATCTCTATTTTGAGTTTTTAGCTGACTACTACTATGTTTGAAACTTCGAAAAATCATAACTTCCTCATACGAAGTCAGATTTGGGCGTTCCTTTTGTGTACGTTTATGGTTTAATGATATCTACAACTTTCATTTAGATACCTAACGTTAAAAAGTATTTTACCGGTTTTGTTGCAGATCTTCAATTGGTCATAACTTCTTCGTTATAACTCGGATTTCATTGTTCTTTATATTTTTGGAAACCTAGTTATGATCTCTACCAATTTATTTATTCTAGTTAAGGTTATTGAACAATTTATTTTTTTACCTGAATTTGATTTGTGTTACATTAACCCCCCCCCCCCCCGGTTAGAGAGAATTTTGTCCTGAAATTTGCATTTTGTGTGGGTCATCGATGGTTGAGGAAAGGTGAGCATACTTATGATCCATTTGTTCTTCTTGTTCTCTAGTGAATCCAACTCTTAGCGTGGGTCCTCCAGTGGACCTTCATCATCCTGTCTGTTGTTTTGATCCTCATCGCTTGTGTGGATTTGGGTTTATTTGTCTACTCTACCTATCAATGCCTTGTGTATACGAGTCGTATATATGCTTTGTAGTGATAGGTTAACCGCATTTATTCTAAGCCTTTGAGCTACAACTTGACTCATTGCACGCATGTTATTCCTAAACAGTATGTCGGGAGTACTTCGAGAAGGTTTCAAAGCTACAATACTCCTCACATGAGTACTTCGGGAATTTAGAACGATAGAAAATTTGGAAGTTGTGTTGGGTTTGACTTTTATAGGTTAGAAGAGTTTCACTAGTCGGTGGTTAACACGAAGGGTCTTTTCATAGCACATGCAATTAGCGTGGCGAAGACCAAGCGAATCTATTTCTAGTAGCTATTTCGGAACTTCTTATCAAGTCGATCGGTAAGAGTGTTTGTTAGTGTGATAGTGCTTTATGCGTGTATGTTTTTAGCTTTATGCTTGTTATTACTACTACGAACATTGTACCTCGCTCAGAAACTACTACTTGATGGGTGTCCAATAATCGGATATGATGAATTTTCATAATATATACTTACTATGCAAGGAATAGGAGTGGAAGCGGAAACACTCACTCTCAACCTACAATGTCTTGATTAACAATAAACTTAAAGTTCACTCGAAATCCTTATAGCTCACCTACAAGGTTTCTTAGTAAAAGTTGAGACTGTTCGAATGAAAGATAAATCTAAAATTTATTGGCAAAAATTTTAGTGAAATTTAATGTAGAGTTATTGTTGTTTGGGACGTACCAAAATTCTCAATGGCATTCCTGGTTGTTTCTTTTTGGCTTGATGCTTAAACTTTTCCTAGTCCTCCGTTATTCTTCCCTGTAGGACAATCTCGCTTGAAATGTCCTGTTTCACTACATGCATAGCAAGCTCTTTTTGTTCTGGCATCGGTGGTTGCAGTGATTTGTTGGTCTAGAGTCCTACATGTTGGATTAATGTCTAAGTCCATAACTATAATTGGTAAGACTTGACTCGACCGACATGGTCCATTTGGGTTGCATGGCATCGGGACAATTGGATAGACAAGATGAAGAAAAAGGATACTAGTGATTTATATTAATATATTATAAGTTGTAATATATTAATATATAATCGTATTATTTAATTAGTATTGATCAAGAATTAATTTATAATTAATTAAGTGATCAAAAGGAACAAATTAAATATGGACTCTTAGATATATATATATATATATATATATATATATATATATATATATATATATATGTATGTATGATGGTCCAAGTTCATTTAGATTGGGCTAAGCTTTCATGGATAGTCCATGGAGTGTTTAACCCATGGATCATGTGAAATGAAGGTTAGTGGGTTTAACCCTAGTTTCCACACTATATAAAGATGTCATTGGGTGCTGAAATTGGAACAAGTGTGTGTACACAAAAGGGCAAGGCCGACTTCACTATAGAGAACCAACGTATCCTTATTCTCAAGGTTATTCCAAGTGTTCATGGTGTTGTGTGAACCATTTGAGGTGTCATACTTGGGGCACTAGGCACTCAAGCTTCATGAAGACAAGCTACATCAACAAGGTATGTATTATAACTTGTTATATTACCCAAGTATCAAAAGATTGTATGCTAGATAGGATAATACCTTGGAATATTCATATTTGCATGTATAATAGAGAAAACATAGATCCAAGGTATTTAGGGTCGCATGTACACTTAGGAGTGTTAGAATGCTCAAAACCTAACAGTGGTATCAGAGCCTAGGCTTGTTTTCTTGTTATACTTGCAAACGTGACTAAAAAAACGAATTTTTGAGTTGTCTGCATAGCAAACTCGTCGAGTCCATGAAGGGACTTGACGAGTCCAAGGCTAAAGCGATCCAACTCATCGAGTTGGTTTATACACTTGACGAGTTGGATCCCCTAACAGTATATATTCGACTGTCTTGGCTGGAATTGGACTAGGAACATTACCCTATGCTGTTTTTCAACTTATAAACTTATTATTTTATGTGGTAATGTTCATACTAATCAAATTTAAAAGGTAATTGTCAATAGATTCATGCTTTGTATTAGTTTAACGATTATGCTAATTACATGAAAAAGTTTGATGTGAATTATATTTGTTCATATGAGTTGCTTAGATTAATAGAAAATTTGATTGATCATGTGTCTTTAATCCATTTTAATGTAAGAGTTGATTCTAAAATGTGTTTATGTAACTTGTCCTCAAGTTAAATGAAAGGTCACATTTAAGTTTCTTAAAGCTCATAAAAGTTGGCGAAGGTTACAAAATGAAGAGTCTTGTCCTCATTAAATGGTTTTATGACTCCATAACTTGTCCTTAGGTTATGGAAGTTCAAGAGTCTCTTTAATATTAAAAATGTGTAACATTAATTAGTTCCATAAGTTACAAAAAAGAAGAGTTACATTTTGTAATAGTTTGAGGTATTCCGTAACTTATCCTCAAGTTATGGAACTTGAAGAGTTTTCTTAATTGAAACTACTTTAAACACATAAGTTATGGAATTAAATAATTTTGAATAGTTTCAAAACTTACCCTCAATATTTGGAATTTGTAAAGTTTTTCCATGAATACTTTAGTTCCAAGTTAATCCCTTAGAATTTTAAAAGTTAAAATTCAACCCTTATACTTTATAATATCATAAGTTAATAATATATATATATATATATATATATATATATATATATATGTGTGTGTGTGTGTGTGTGTGTGTGTGTGTATAACAACAAGTCATCTTACATTAGTAGGCCTCATTCACGAAGGCGGTCTATAAGGGGCGTATAAAGTTACTGCCTACAAAATTGTAGTTTAATGGGTGTCCACTCTCACCCACGGCTTCCTTGACTTGTGGAGGGTCGTTAATCGAACGAGTAGCACAAGGACTATAATTCTCTCATCATTAAAAGTATTAATGATAAATACTAAGTAACTAAACACTTATTAATACCCAATCTTAGTTACTTAGGAAAATGTGAATTTGGTGCTAACCCATGAAATTACACTTTGCACTTTGCTTAAGTCGTTAGTGGAGCGTGTGTGGCTAACCGACACACTAGTTTGATTTAACAAGGTTGGCAAAGGCTAACTTGATTTAACAAGGTTGGCAAAGGGTAATTTAATGAAAAAAAATATTTGGATCTTCATGTTTTTATGAATTATGATCGATTAATTAAAAATGAAAATTTTCTTTGTAAAATTTGGGTTGTTACAAAGTCCCTTATATCTAAAAAATATAAGCAGATAAAGAAGAGATGGGCAGAGTTATACAAACATAAGTACCTTCATTGTTAACACCACCACTAGTTGACACCTGTAAGCCGAAACAATCATCAAGCGTCTCCACCGTCAGCATCATCACCCCCAACAACCACCGTACACTTCAAACATCAGCTGCTCACAGAGTTTTGTTCATCTCGCTATTCATAATCTTACATGGATTTAGGGTTCAAGATTTCTTTGCAGATCGATTTCTTCTTGGGGTCAATTTCAAGATTTAGGGTTCTTAGCATATATTTAGGGTGAAGGTGAAGGCAGGAAAGGATAACAAAGAGGAAGATGAAAGGTAGAGGAAGATGGGTAATGGAAGAGGGTGGAGAACTGGATATACTTATTTTATTTTAATCTATTTTAATTTTTACACAATAAACAAATAAAGAAAATTTAAAAACATATATATTAAGGGCAAAATAGTCTTTTTGTATCCGAAGTGATGAAGTGTGCAAGTATTAAACAAATAAGAGATGATCCGAGTTAATTTTTGAAAATAAGGACTAAACGTGCCTTTTGTCACACGCATGTGGGCCGATTCGTGTGATTTACTCTTTATTATAATAGGGATGATATAATATCTACATAGTGTTATATTTAACAAGTTGCAGATTATTCGAAATATCATAGTGTTAGGATGGACAAAGACGTCCATATGACATGACGATTTACGGACAAAATGATTCCGTAGAAGAAGATGTACTACAAAAGCAACAACATGCATATATAGTAACCCATGGATGACTATATCTCTCCTTCTTTCTATCAATTGTCTCTCTACTTTCTTTCAAACTTTGGTTAATTGTAATGGATTGGAAATGATGAGAAATATAGGTTTTAATTTGTTGTAGGATAGGAGGTGTATAAGTAAGATAAAGACAAAAATTGATGTAGGATAGGAGGTGTATAAGTAAGATAACACACAAAAATTGATGTGACAATAATATGATAAACAGATTTGAATGATGGACATCCTCCATCCTTAGGCATCTAGGTATGAGGTTTAAATGTTGTGGAGGAGGAGGTGTCCTCCCTTCACGCCGTTGAGGCCACGTGTTTCTTCACTTAATTTTCATCAAATTAATTTGTATACACATTTCTTCACCATTCCTAACGAACCAAATGCATAACAAATTACATATTTTTTTCCAGTTCCAATTATATCAAATTCAAATACTATATATAACTCTTGAATGACAAAAAAAAATTGTCTAAAAATTAGAACATAAAGAAGGGAGAAGCCACAGATTAAAAAGCGCAGAGGCTAGAGACAAACTCCAAGACAAGCAAGCCATGGCTGCTGATAACTGATACCTGTTGCACAATTTCCCGCCACAAAAAGAATCACCAGCTTCTGTAACCATGAAGTCTGATACACTAGCGGTTGAACATGCAGCTGCTAGTGATAAGAACGAAAGAATCTGCCAATATTAAGTTTCCATTTGTTAGTATTTGAGAGATAATGAAGAGATCATGGGATTTTGAATTGGAATTGGATCGATGATTAGGATTTACCCAATCGCCTATAACTATTACTGCTACCATTTGCACTTGTCGAGATGGACGTTTGACAAACACAGAGAATGCATCGACCATTGCTAGTGTTAAACTCCATGGAATCATTAATCCTTTGATTGTCACCAAGAAACTACGAAAGGAAAGAGAAGAATGTCATTAGTAACCATGAAGATCGCGAATTCTCGATCTTGTTCGAAGATGATCCAAGAAAATCGTGGTTTGTGATTTTGATTAAATGGGCAAATTTACAGTCGATTGGGCTTGTGGTTGAACAATCTGAATTCGATTTCCATCGTTAATCGAAACCCTAGCTAAAATATCACGATCCGTCGTAAATTTGAACTTTCAGCTCGATTACTAGAACAATCTACTTGAGAAATTTACGAATTAAATCGAATCAACGAAGGAAAAAGTACCAGAAAGAAGTATAAGCGTAGAATTGAACTCCGACGCACATGAAAAGAAGAGAAGCAACAGAGAAGAGCGTCTGCCCCAATCTTAAGGCTAAGCTTGCGCTAGTACCAATTGAACCTGGCAATTCTTCTTCCATTAATGATTAATCTCCTCTACTTATATTCCGATCAGTTTATCAAACAATAAAAAACTGATCGAAATGTAAGAGAGTGTAATTTGGCGTTTGAATCTTATTCGTTTTCTCAGAGAATCTTCATATTGAATGACAATCGTCGTTGTAGGTCGTTCCATGTAGCTGTTGCGTCATTGATGCAGTTTGTAATTGGTTTGGCAGGTTTTTGTGTGAATATATTAGGGGGTTTGTGGATGGGAGTCGTACGGGCCATTGACATTTAGTTGCAGTGGTATGATATTCGGTGTAGCATCGCCATTGAAGACGAATATGTAAGCTTTTTTGCTTGTTGCAATTTCTTTTATGAAATTATATTATATTTTAAAGGGTCGTTTGTACGGGATTCATAAAATTTCATAAAGAGTAAATTACACAATCGTCCTTGTGATTTGATCACATCTAGATCTATACTAAATTACATCAATCTTGTTGTACAAGTGACAAAAAAACATGTTACATTTATTTCCAAAAACTTATTTGGATCGTTGTTTGTTTCCAAATTGTACGTTTTACGAGACGATTTTGTTGCAATTTTGATCGGCGTCAAATTTGAAACAACCATAATGCCTTGGATATTTATTTCCATTTTAGGGTGACCACCTTAAGCATCGATCTGAATCCTCTTTCTTCTCCCACATCATATGGGTTTCGATTTGCCGGTTTAGGGTTTGGAGTTGATTACATGTTTGATATTTTGGTTTGGTTGGGTTCTAGTATCAAACTTTTTATTCCGTTTTCATTTTGGGATTCTAATTCCATTTGGGTTGGCTTTTAGATGCGGGAGGTGCTGGCAATGTGATACGTGGAGGTATCATAGTTTAGAAATAGGAGAGAGAGAGAGAGAGAGAGAGAGAGAGAGAGAGAGAGAGAGGTATGTGAGAGAGAAATATGGGGAGAAGCGGTGATTTCCAATGGTAGTCGAAGGTAGATGGTGGCTTTCGGTGGCGGTGGGTGGTAGTTTCCGATAAGTTCTTGAAGAGAAATAGAGAAAAGAAATGGTTGTTGAAGTATTCTTTATTTCAATATAAGAATGAAAAACAAATAAAAACAAAAAATAAATATGAAAATTAAATGAAAATAAAATAGAGACAAAACAACAAAAATTGTCCTTGTGGTTTCCGAAAATCTGAAGTTTGGTTCCTAATTTACAAAAACCTTACAGATAGTCCCTGTGGTTTCAACACATTTAATTTTTAGTCCTTCCGCCTAATTCCGTTAGCTTTCTATCGTTAAGTGAGGGGCATTTTCATCATTTCAATACTCAGGGACCATTTATGAGGTTTTCTCTTATTTTAAATAAAAATAAAAAATGAAATTTAATATGTAAATGGTCTCCCCCTCTCTCTCTCTCTCTCTCTCTCTCTCTCTCTCTCTCTCTCTCTCTCTCTCTCTCTCTCTCTCTCTCTCTCTCTCTCTGTTAAGAAGCATCACCTAGACACCCTCTATTGTTGTTTTGCTTGACCCCTTCTTTCCCTCGAAGCCACAACTCCGGTGAAATAAGCTAACAATCGACGAAGAGAGCCCACCAGAAAAATTGGTTGTCAACCTCTCAAACTCCCCTCGGTTGCTGAGCAAACCCACAAACCCCATCCTGTTGTGTCGTTTCCGATCTGCTCTTTTCCTCCCTTTCTTCTCCGTTTTTCTACCAACCTCTCCACCTCCCCTCCATGGCTTCTTATGTGATCTTGCAGAACATCGATATGTACATTTGGGTTTACAATATGTACAACAAATCCAGTCAATGAATCAATTCGATTCATAGTTATGCAGACAAAATTGATCATCGTTAATGCATTTAAAAAATGTTGGGTACGCTAGGTTGCCGAAAAAACAAAGTTAATTCGAACTGGTTTATACATAATGGAAGTTACCTGAGCAAAATCGGTGAATGCGATCAAGAGAATCAATGATGGGACCAAAAGCATAGTGGTGTATGGACATCCTCCTCCTGCTATTTTATCTCTCTTTCACTCACTCACTATAAAAAATGGAAATCTAATGATATGTGAGTGAGAAAGAACAGATATAATGCTATGGAATGTAGATTGTGAAGAAGTATTGAAAAGAGATGGAATTGAAGCTCCCTACTTGATGTAGATTGTGAAGAAATGGGATTTGGAATATGTCGATTAGAGAAGAAGAAATAAATGAGGGCAAAAGATGGTTCAGGGGTAATTAGGGTGATGCTTCTTATATATATATATATATATATATATATATATATATATATATATATATATATATATATATACACACACACACACACACAGATAGAGGGAGATCAAATTTCTTTCATTTTTTCTTTTTTTAATAAAAAATTAAGATGATATGAGAAAATCTCATAAATGGTCCCTGAGTATTGAAATGACGAAAATGCTCCTCATTTAACGGTAGAAAACTAACAGAGTTAGGCGGAAGGATTAAATATTAAAACTTTTAAAACCACAGGGACCATCTGTGAGGTTTTTGCAAATTAGGGACCAAACTTCAGATTTTCGGAAACCACTGAGACCATTTTTGAAGTTTTGTCTAAAATAAAACGGGCAATATAGTCATTTCATGTTTGTATGGACGAAACATGTTGTCACACCCCGAAAAACAAAGGCGGAAACATTTTCAGGGCAGACTCCACGTTGAGTATCAAACCAATGCACATAGTAAGCAAAGTAAACAACCATTACATTACATATATAAAAGTTTACATTTGTTTCAAAAGTAAATTGTACAAGTGTGATACACAATATATATATATGAACAAAATGAGACAAGTCTTCTACGCACTCCGTCTTTGCTAAAAGTGATCGTCGGGTACCTGTCTAATGAGGACCTGAGAATACAAGCGGTTTGAAAATCAGCATAAAGCTGGTGACTTCATAAGCGGTTTGTTTTATGAAAATGCATGAGTTCCTTTGGTTTCCTGAAAAAGCGGTTATCCAAGAAAATCCCATATTTTCTTAAAAGTAATGTTTACCAAATCCAAATTGTAAGGTAAAATATGTACACTAAAAACATGATTGTTCTTGTAAATTGTAAAGTTTAGTTATCTAACTTATTACACTTTTCTGGTTATGTACTACTGTTACTCAGGAAAATCCTATATTTTCCTACATGTGTGTGTGTGAACTATTACCGATTCTGTGTGTGCGAACTATTACCGATTCCGATTATATTCAATGTTATCCCCAACAAAACCCCATGTTTTCCTGAATGTGAGTGAAGTCTCCTAAAAGTCCGATTATCCTTAAATGTACATTAGTTTTATTACGTACATAAAACTAATAAATAAGTGTAAAGTGTTAATAATCTAGATTGCGAGTCCTTAAACATACTTCAGACTAGATATGACTCGGGTCGTGGCCAGTATCCTGTTTATGACTTTCGTTGCCCTTGAACCTTTCGGTTCGGCTGTAGCTAGCAGCCAGGTACGGGATTGTCAGTTCCGTATAGATCTATACACTCAAGTCACGCTCTCCTCTGTTCGGAGACTTTGGTTACAGGGGTAGTCCTCCACTCTCTTGTGCCAAGGATGTGTTGCAGAGGATGTGTCTCCAATCTTTAAGATTTCCCTTCACTTATCGTGCCTAGGGAAGTAGTATCTATGACTATCTAAGTTCTAATGGATCCTGTCCTTTACACTCGAGCCTAGGTGTTTTATTAAGGACATTACAAATATTTTATGTTTTCTCATGGAGTCTGTCCTTTACACTCGAGCCTAGGGTGTTTTATTAAAGATATTACATATGTGTTATGTTTTTTAATGGTGTCTGTCCTTTACACTCGAGCCTAGGGTGTTTTATTAAAAACATTACATATGTGTTATGTTTTCTATCAATATAAGTGTGAACAAGCAATTGTGAAACATTACAGTATATAATAATAAGAATTGAAATCGTTTGAACAAACAACTCTGCAAGTTAAAATAGTTTGTTAGTGGGTTTTCAATTCTTAAAAGTATGCGAATTATGAAACCATTTAAAATGAAATAATGAATTTAAGTACAAGATATCCTTGTACTTTTACTTGTATTCCCCCCTGAAAACATTTAAAAACCATTGAAAAATGGTATGGGTATGAACTCACCGGTTGAGAAACGCATCAGTTTGGATCTCAAACGTCAGTTCTGGGTTCGCGAACGCACTAGATTCCTATGGATTATGAAATGATATACAAATATATCTAATTAGATTTATAAACTCTAATTAGATATGATAATACACTCCAATGAGCGAAAACACTTCAAAACGAGTGCTTGGAGTGACCCGAGTGACATCTACAGACGTGTAAAGATGCGAGGGTCTTGGAATTTGAGTTTACTCTTCAAGAGTAAACTCCCTAATGAGTTTTCAGCCTCTTATACCATACTCACATGAGTTCACGGCCGTGAACTCATGTTTAGGTGTTTTATGGTGCTAAAATGGTCAATATCACTTGGGAAGAGTTGGTACAATTTTATCTAAGGCATGGGTTGGAAATTAAATCACCAATGACATTATTTAAGGGAGTTTACGGCCCTAAACATGGAGTTTACGGTCGTAAACTCCTATACCCCCTTAAATTGATGATTTAATGGCTTTAGATTAATCACATGTGATTCTAACTAATTTTCCATGCCTTGGTATGAATTTAGGGTACCATTTGACACACAATTAGGAGTTTACGGCCCTTGAGCATATGCTATGGCCGCAAACTCTCAAATGAAGGGTGTTTGGCATGTTTAAGGTCCCCAAACTATTTTTAGATGATTCTAGGATTTATTCCAAGGATTTTGGTGAAGTTACAAGGCATTCTAACATGTTTAAATGAGTTTACTCTCCGTGTTTGATGTGTTTATGGCCCAAGCACATTCCTTGGCCGTAAACTCATGTTGTCCCTCAAAATCCATGTCTAGGGTGTTCTAAGTCCGGGTTTGTAAGCCTTAAGGTCATATCTAAGTCCTAATGTTGGTTTGGAAGGGTTAAAGTGCTTAAAAACCCCATTATTATGTGTTTACGGCCCAAGCATGCTCCTTTGCCGTAAACACATGTTCCAGGTCCAAAATCATAATTTAAACATGGATTTGAAGGCCTAGGAGGTTGAATAACAAGTTAGGAAGGTTACCTCTATGATTTGGAGCCTTAATTCATTGATTTTGGACCTAAATTTTGGATGAGGAGAGAGGTTAGAGAGAGAGTAGTGAGATGAAGAAAAAGCTTCAAATGGAAGCTTAGAACACTTTAAATAGTGTTCGGGATTTGGACACGGTGGAATTCTACCCGATACCAGCGTTAGACGGGGCTTTTGGTCGCACCCGATTAAG